GGATTTTTTCCTACCCCACCCCATATGGTCAGTAGTTTTACCTGTGCTTATTTACTGCAGCAGGCATATTGAGGGTAAGCAACGCTGAGAGATGGGGCTGCCTTGAGAACTACATACAGACACAGGAAAGATAGTAACAGAAGCAGCGTCATGCACAGGCTCCTATGGCCCTCAGTTCAGTCACTGGCTCACAAAGGACAGAAACAAAACAGAAATAGGAAATAGAAATAGTGGCCAATGTTCAAAAGTCCAAATCAGCAAAGAATCCATCTCTGGGAGATTTCTCACTTCCTGTCTAAGTCAAGATTAACTCATAAATGAGTAGGCTGAACAAACAAGCAAAAGTAATGTAAGTGAACTCTTCTCAGGGCATGCTACCAAACTCACTGTGTCTCGGCCTCATGACAATTGACAGCCTCTGAGGACCTTGGATATGTAGCCTACCTTCTGTGTCCCTCACCTGGACCATCTTCAAACTTGACTCCTGACTGCTTTTGACGATCTAGGTCCCTGACTCTTGGATTCATTACCTGTTTATGGACCGGCAATTGCTGCCTGTCCTGACAATCTGCTCTTGGCCCTGAGCCTGGTTTTTCTCCTCACCCATAATTTGCATTCCCTTTGATGACAGCATTTCAGTCTCTTGGCAATCCTCTCCCTTAACCCAGACACCCTCCTCACAGCAGTGAATATATACACAATTCTTATTGAAATGGTGAAAAGTTGGAAGGTGTGCTCAAGTTCTCAAGAGGTTGAATGAGCAAAGAGACATGGTTGAACACTTAGAAGAGGGCCAGCTGATAGATTTAAAGAAGGTTGTTGGCTGGCTGGTCTCTATATCTCTAAGTTCTGAGGATGCAGAATGATGGAAGTGGTTCTGCCATCTGTGAAGTTGTAAAATGATGCAGATTCTGTCTGTGCTGGTGAAAATGCAGTCCAGTTCCAGTGGTGCTCCTGAGTGTGACTACTAGCTACTTGAGACTGAGAGGTCAGGGAAGAACTCTATCAACAGAAGAGTGGATAAACAAATCTTTGTATTTAAACTCAGTGGATCACTGCTCTGCCCAAAAGAAGGATAAACTTGAAGCATTCATATGCAAGTAAATGTAAGTTAAGAGCACAAGGTTGGTGAAATAAGTCACAGACATAAGCTTAAATATCACCTGGTTTCTCTTATGTGAAAAACTCTATATACGTAGATATATATTATATGATAAGTAAATAATATGGGGTTCTTTTTTAAATAGATAGGCTAATAAGAGATGGAAGAATAAGAGGGAAAATGAATTGAAAAAAGACAAAGGGGAAAAATGAAAATAGAGCTTTTGCAAATGGGAAGTGGAACAAGAATTGGAAGGAACAGAGATGGAGGGGAGAAATAGGGAATAGAAAGAAAAAGAATGTGTATATGCAATAACTTCTCATGATAAATATAATGAGCTATATAATGGAAATGTACTAATAAATAAAAAAGAAATTTTTGATTAGCTGATATTTGGGTATAAAACTGAACGACAAGGAATCTGCCCTATAAAATGAGGATATAAAATTCTGAGTTGAGTAAGTATTAAGTCATCAGGATTTGGGACCCTTTTTATCTAGGAAGCAGCCAATCATTTCAGATATTTACAGCCAGATAAACATGCTTGTAAATCCCTTATTGTATATCTTCTTTCAAGTATTTTAATGGAGACAATGGAACCATGGATATTTTAATACATTACAATAAAGTACTACATTTAAATATATTTCCTTGAATATTAAATCAAGTAAGTGCCTTGTGCAAGATTTTAAAGTATCACATAAAATATCTTAACACTCAGGTTCATCTGATTCTCTAGGGTACTTCCTACTTGACTTCATATTAGCAAACCCTTTAAAGAATTATTTTAAACATAAGTATAGCTTCATGGAAACTAGTGAAACATAAACAGGGATGTTCCATGTACACCTCTCCCAGTCCCTTCCAATAGTAACATCTTAAATAATGATAATATCAAAACAAAAAAATAAAGATGTCAGTACCACCCTTGGCACTTGTTTAGATTCTATCAGCTTTATTTGCACTTCTTTCTGTAATTGCAATTTTATATAATCAGTAATGCAATCATGGCTTAGAAATGTACCATAAGGAAGATTCCTTGCTAGTCATTTGTTGCCACACCTACTCCTGCTCATACCTAACCTTTGACAACCACTAATGAAGATTGTTTCTACATTTTATTTCAAGAACATTTTTGTGGCCCTGGGGATTAAAACCAGGTTCTCATACACATTTGGTAAGTGCTTTACGCTTAATTACAACCCAAGTCCTATTTCAATGATGTTTTATAAATGGAATCATAAATGTTTAATACAACATAATTCCCGAGATCCACCCAAATTGTTGCATTGTATGAGTAGTTTATTCTGTTTGTTCCTTTGTTTATTAAGTTGTAATCTGCAGCATGGATGTACCACCATTTAACCATTTATCAGTTGACAAAAATTTGAGTTGTTTCCAGATCTATTATATTTTTATTTATTTATTTATTTATTTTTTGGCAGAACCAGGGATTGAACTCAGGCCCTTGCACTTGCCAGGGAAGCGCTTATTCCACTGAGCCATCTCCCCGGCCCCAGATTTATTATTAAAGCTGCTATAAACATTTATGAACAAATTTTTGTGTCGACATCAATTTTCATTTCTTGGAAAATTTGTCTAGGAGTATACTTTATGGCTCATATAATAAGTGCATGTTTAGTTTTTTTAATTCAGAACTGGGGATTGAACTCAGGACCTTGCGTTTCCCAGGCAAGCGCTTATTCTATTGAGCTATCTTCCCAGCTCCATGTTTAGTTTTTGTAGAAACTAGACTAAATTGGCTATATTATTTCGCAGTCTTATCTCCAGCACATGACTTATCCAGATTCCTCACAGCCTCACCAGCATTTGGTGGTGTCACTACTTTTAAAAAGCCACTCTGATGAGTTAAGTGTGATAGGATATTCTGATATCTCGTAATTTTCATTTTCCCATTGGCTAATGATGTTGAACATATTTTCATGTGCTTATTTGCCATCTGTAGATACTCTGGGAAATCTCTTATGTCTTCCATTCTATAAAAATGTTCCAATGAGGTTGGGACTATTCTTAGGAACTTCAGTTGGCTCTAACCTTAAGGAGAACAATCAGTCCATGTGCATGCATAGTTTTCCCAGACTTATAAAATAACATATAAAGTAATAATATCTCTGATACATTCCTTCTCTGTGAGAAGAGACAACTATATGCTACTCAAAGCCCAAACTAGAGATAAATATAATGTCTTTTATTTTATTTTTTATTTATTTTTGTGTCCAAGTCAGCCCACCGAGGAGCATGGCTGGCATAGCATGTGGGGCCCGGGATCGAACTGCGGTCCCTAGGCTTGCCTAAGCTTGCCTAAGCAGGAGCTTTAGACCGTTGAACTATCCTGTCGGCCCCAACGTTCTTAAAAAAATATATTTGGTTCATGGTACAGGGTCTCACTACACAGCTTAGACTTGTAGTAATCCTCCTGTTTTCAGCCTCCGGAATGCTGGGATTACAGGCTTGCCACCAGGCCCAGTCTCCATCACCATCCCAGTGCCCCTCCCACGGGGGGGCGTGGCGCACTGGGGATCGAACCCCAGCCACTTTAGTCTGCTGAGCTATCTGGCCCGCTCATAACTGGAATTTTGTAGCGAATGAAAATCTAGTTTACTAATATTGTAGTACAATACCTCATTATATAAAGCTTTATCTTCCAGTGCACTTTAAACTCTATTACTTTCTTTATACAGGTATTCCAAGACAGATTTCTATTAGCCAAATGCAAGACAGGCAGGTGGTGTGGTGGAAGGGGGTGAGTCAGGCCAGCTGGTCAAATTCCTGTCTCAGCTTCCTTATATTAGAGAGCATGAAGTTCTATTGCAAACCTCAGAAAGAACCTTCAAATATAAAATTATATGAAAATAATTCATAAACTCATGTAAAACGGAAATTTAGTTTTTAAATTGGCATTGTGCTTGCAAAGGGGAACTGGTAACATTTAATTTTGGAAAACATGCTGACTGCACACAAAATGTACTACAAGGATACAGTAAACAACAGAAACTATTATTTACCACTCAGTGAAAAATGTTTAAAGTATTCTTCTATATCCAAAGTCCCTAAAATGAGTAATCAAAATTCTCTGATTCTCACATCTATTGTCTCTATGACCTGAGACTTTTGGGACTTTCTATACAAGCCCAACAAATGGGGATGAAAATTTTCTTAATTTTTATCTATTTTAGTTCAGGTGAGAGGATCCACGACTCGCAGCATTCCTAGGGGAGAGTACCCTCAGCAGTTTCCGGACTGGCTGACTCTGCAGCAAAAGGTGCCTTTACTTGGCATAAAAGGGGCTCCTCATAAATGACTCGACCAAAATGGGGGGCTACTGCAGTTGCAAGGAAAGGGCATGGAATTCCACCGTCGAGCTGACTCGATTACTTCACCTGCCGGATCTGCAGCCGGGTGCAAGGGGTAAGCCTCAGATTGCGGGCACCAGGCAGCCGGCCCCTCTCCTTAAAGAGAACCGAGGCGGAAATGCTCCCTCTAAAAGGAGGCTGGAGTCTGCCCGCTCCGGACTTTGGGCAGGCCCTCCGGCTCAAGTGGCGCCGACACCTGTCTCTGCCTCGGGAGGGACACTCGGGTGGAGCCGTTAGCACCCAACCACGATCCTCGCACACAGTTGGTTCGCCTGCGGGTCTGCAGGTGAAGGCGAGGTCGGGGGGAAAAAACCTTGCAGCACCTGACCTAGGTTCCGTTGCTAGGCGACGGAGGAAGAGGGGCCTACGGGAGAGGCGCAGGGTTGTGTCCGAAGCAGAGCGCGACGAGGTGAGTCCGCGCAGCCGCGCGCCTCCGCTCTCAGGGCGGAGCACGCGACCCGCCCCGCCCCGCCCCGCCCCCATCGTGGGCCGAGCTACGCCTGCGCGCCGCCGGAGCGGCCATCTCCGCCCTCGCTGGGCTGGCGCTGGAGCTCGCGTGGAGCCCTTGGTGGCGCCACAGCGGAGCCGCTCCGGAGCGGGCGAAGGCAGCGGCGCCTCGAGCAGGTGCCTCCGCCGCTGAGGAAAATGGTATTCGAGTCGCTGGTCGTGGACGTGTTGAACCGCTTCTTGGGGGACTATGTGGTGAACCTGGACACATCCCAGCTGTCCCTGGGCATCTGGTCAGGTAACGAGGCCGCCACCGCCCCTCGCGCTCGCCGCCTCCTGGCCGGCGCTGCCCCTGCTTCCGCCGCAAGTTACGGAAAGGCCGGCGGCGGCGGCTCCGACGCGAGTCCCTCTGAGGACGTGAGCGCGGCTGCCAGGGTGCCCTCTTCGGGGTGGACCGCCGCGGCGGCCGGCGCCCCGAGCCCGGCGCCCGGGTCTGGAGCTCGAGTTCGGTGCGGCGCCCGTTTCTTTCTTGCCTGGAGCGGTGGGTCCGGCGTCGCCGGTGCGCGGCGCAGAGGAGCTGCGGCACGCGGCTGGGTTGGGGCTCGTCCCTGTCGTTTTCCCTGTGGTTTGTGACGAGGGCGCGAGGGAGCCACGGAGTGTCGCACGCCGCCGCGCACGGGCAGGCGAGGCGCCGTCACTGGGGCGCCCTCCCCCGGGCGGGCGCATCCGATCGCCGGACCCGGGTGCCCGGCTCCGCCTTCCGGCCTCGGGCGCGGGGTTGAGCGCGTGGGTTCGGCTGATAACAGACCCGAAACTCCGTGTCCAGGAACTCAAGTTGCTTGTGGTGTTTTGAACCCACTATGTGACCCAAGAGGAATGTGGTCTGTGTGGAAGGCTATGGGGTTTTGTAAGCCTGGGTAAATTAATTAAAAAATAAAAAGGAAATGGGCTGTGCAGCATTTCAGACCTGTCAATGACAAGGACGGACACGCACCTGCGCTGGTTAGTGATAAAAGACTGCAGCTTCGCTTTCTCGTTACAGCATGCTCTACCTTATTTAGAGCTTTGTTTTTAGTACCTCCATCTGTTTTGTGTTTCACATTTATTTTAAGCATCTATTACAAATTAGTCTCTTGTTTTGTTTTATACTTTAGGGAAGGGTCCACAGGGTGTTCAGGGTCTCACTACTAGATCAGACTCATAGTGATCCGCCTGTTTACAGCCTCCCAAGAGCAGGGAGTACAGACACGCGCCACCACACTCAGTCTCAATTGCTATCTCAGCGCGCCCCGGGGTTGGGGCCGACCCAAACCCCAGACCCCTTGCCTGCGCTTTAATCTGCTGAGCTATTTGGCCCGCCCACTGCTCAGTCTCCTTTTGAAATGGATGTCCCATGGCAAAGTTAAGTTTCTTGCTTGTGAGAATACATAGATTTTTAAAAGTACTTTATTCTAGGATATGGACACACTTGCAAGCCTCCTTCTAGAATACTTGTTTAATGGGAGTCTTCTTGTTTATGAAATAATATAAACAAATTTGATTTCAAAAGAAAAAAATCTCTTGTGATCAGGTACCATGATAGATGTGTACTACAAATTTAGGAACATAAGTGCTAAATAGCTTTCAGATTGTTTAATTTATTCTGTTTCTCAGTTGTAAAGTGAAAATAAAACTTCTCCACAGTATCTCAGAAACCTTTAAAACTCTAGAGTAACACTTTGTTCTGTAGTGAAATAATGCTTCTATATTCAGGTTGGGGTTTGTGTAGAGTGTGATTTCTCAGCAACTTTAAAGTTTGCAAAGTAAACTTTTTATGTGCAGTTCTTTATGTCTTGACAAATACTAAGGTAAATAGCCACTATCACAATAATGATGCAGAAAAATTTCGTCAGGCCCCCCAAATTTCTTGTTCCTTTGTAGTGGACTCCACCTCCTGGCAGCCTTTTCTCTGTTTCTATTTCTGTCATTTTGTTTTTGCCAGCATCATATTAAGAAATGGTTTGTAGCTTTTGAGTCTGGCTTTTTTTTTTTTTTTTAACAAAATATTTGAAAGTTATCCATGTGTTTCGTACTTCATTATTTTGTTCCTGTGTAATTAGTGTTAAATACCATGGATATACTGTAAATGTTTATCCATTTGGCAGCGGAAAGATACTTCATTTTTTGGAAAATTTGAATAAAGCTTCTGCAGCACTAACGTGTAGGTTTATGCGTGAACATATTGTATCAGGATTTACACTGCCTCCACTGAGCAATTGCTATTGTCATTTTAAAAATCCATTTTAGTCATTTTGCTAGGTATGTGGTAAAGATTTGTAGCTTTCATTTATATTTCTGTTATTAATGTGTTGGATATTTTTATTTTTGCTGTTTGTATATTTCTGTCAGTGAAATATTCAAATCTTTTGCTTACTTTAATTTTTTTAATCCTTTATTTATTCGGTACAGTGTCTCACTAGGCAGCTCAGACTCATAGTGATCCTCCTGCCTCAGTCATCCCAACACCTGGATTACAGGTGTGTGCCATCACACCCAGTTTTGGTGGCCAGCTCAGTGTGGGGCTGGCAGGGCATGCAGTACCTGGGATCAAATCTGGGTTCTTGCATTTGCCAGGCAGGCACTTAGACTGCTGAGCTATCTCCGTGGCCCCTTTGCTTACTTTAAATTGTATTCTTTTTCTATTGAGATTTCATTCACATGTCATAAAATTTTCCCATTTATTATTTTGGTGATGAAAATTAAAACCAGGGGCACTGTCGTCCTGCCTACGTCCCAATACCCACTTTTTTTGTGAGGAGAAGGTCAGATAGGCTCCCACTAAATTGTCCAGGCTGGCTTCAAACTTGTAATCTTCCTACCTCAACTTGCCAAGTAGCTGTGATTATAGGCAAAGGCCACCAGGCCTAGCAAAATTTTCCATTTAAAAATGTGCAATTTAGTGTTTTTTTTAAATACAGTAATAAAATTTTGCATCTATTGCTACTATAGCATTGTTTAGACAGCCCCAATTGGACATCTTGTCCTGTCTGTGATTTTAGAGAGAAAGCTTTTAGTTTTTCCCCATTGCATCTGATGTTGTAGTAGGTTTGTCATAAATACTTACATGAAATTGAGATAAAGTATTTTTGTACCTAGACAGTGTGTTTATCAGGAATGGATATTGGATTTTATTAAGCTTTTCCTATGTTGAGATGATCATGTGATTTTTGTCCTTCTGTTTATGTGATGTATTACATGTATTGATTTGTGTATATTGAGCCATTTGTGTATCCCTAGGCAGATGCCTACTTGGTCATGATGTATTATCATTTTGATGCTTTGTTCCATTTTATCATCTGCTGGTATCTTTTCTCTCTCGTTTTTTTTTTTTTCACCAGGGATCAAACTAAGACCTTGTGCTTGCCAGGTGGGCACTTATGCCACTGAACTATTTCCCTAGCCCCTGCTGGTACCTTCTTGAGAACATTTGTATCTATATTTATTAAAGAGATTAGCCAGTATCTTGCTGAGAACTTTTCCCAGTATCTTTTGAGAATTTTTCTATATACATCAAACAGATTGGCCTGTAGTTCTCTTTTTTAGTTGGAGGTTTGTCTGGTTTTGTAATCAAAGTAATGCTTCTTCCCAGGAATTACTTTGGGAATACTACTTCTTTTTCAACTTCATTAAAGAGCTTAAAATGTACTGGTGTTCAATCTTCCCTGAAGATTGTGTGGAATTCAGCTGTGATTCCATCTGTACCTGGGCTTTTCTTAGTTTTTAGGTTTATTACTGCTTCAACTTCATTGCCTATTGTTGGATTATTCAGGGTCTTTTTATCTTCTTGGTTCAGTTTTGGTAATTAATAGGTATTTAGGAGTTTGTTTCTTCTGAATTCTCCAATTGATGGTAGTACAGGTTAGCAAAGTAGTTCTTCATAATCTCTGGTTTTCTACAGTGTCCATTGTGATTTCACCTTTTTTATTTCAAATGTCATTGATTCGGCTAGTTTTTTTCCTTTATATGAGAAGATTGGCTAAGATTTTTTTTTGGTTTTGCTTATTCTTTGGCAGGACCAGTTGTCAGATATATATATAGATAGATAGATAGATAGATAGATAGATAGATAGATAGATAGATATGGCCTTGGTTTCATTTGTTTTCTTTTGGTCTTTATTATTACTGTACTAGCTTTGAGTTTGAATTGTTTCTTACTTGTCTAGGACCTTGAAGTGTATTATTAGGTTATTTAGACTCTATTTATCTGATGTGGACATTCATATCTATAAACTTTTCACTGTCTCATAGATTCATCTATGTTGTACACACATTAATTCTAAGAACTAAGTTTTTCCTTTGTGATCTGTTATTTTTTCAAGAGTGTATTGTTTGCATCATTTCTATGGTTTCTTTTGCCATTAATTTCTAGTTTCATTGTACTATGATCTGATAATATGCCTAATATAATTTTGATTCTTTTACATTTATTTAAGCTGCTGTATTGGCTAGATTGTGCCTATTTTGGAGAAATTCCCATATGCTGCTGAAAAAAAGTGTATATTCTGTTGTTGGATTGAACCCTGTAGATATTTGTTATATCCAATTTTTTGAAGGTTTTAAAACTCTGTTGATAGTATTTTGTCTAGTTGATCCATTTGTGAAAGTGAGATGTTGAGGTTCCACGCTATCATTGCTTTTATGTTTTCTGATCTTTTATATCCAGTAGTATTTGTTTTATGAATCTGAGCATGCCATTGTGGCATATATAGAGTCTGCCAAAAATGTGTAAACACTTCAGGAAGAGAAAAACTGTATGATGTTTTTTCAACAGTTAGTGTTGCCGTCCTATACAGGACCCTAGAGAAGGTCATATATTCCAGAAAACCTCTTACATTGCTGGCCCTTAGAGAAGAAATTGAATGTGCAGCAATCTCAACGACCAAGGTTAGCTAAGAAGCAGTTCCAAGTAGTAATAAATGTCAGGAAGCTAATGGCCACCACTTTGAGCACCTCTTGTAATTGCAGGGCCAAAGGTAACTTGCATTAATCTCATGGTATTTCAACAAATTTAGTATTAAAATATTGTACAATTTTTTTCTTTTCTGAAGTGTGTATACATTATTTTGTGAACTCTTGTGTTAATAATTGTCATCTCTTCTTGTTGAATAGTTCCCTTAACCAATATGGAGTGATCTGCTTTAAACTTTTCTGATCAGTTTTGGCTAGAAGTTCTCTTTGTCTTGAAGTAGGATAGCTATACTTGCTGTTTTGAGGTTTCCGCCACATGGAATAATATTTTCCATCTTTTGAATCTTAGTTCACGAATTTCTTTTTGGGCTAAATGTGTTTCTTGTGCACAGCATACTGTTACATATATATATGTATACACACACACACACACATATATATATATATGTATATATATATTCTGCTAATGTGTCTTTTGGATGGTGCAGTGATTGGGAACCTATGGCATGTGTAGTGAGGCAGCCTGTTTGTATCATTGAAAGCTCTAAAAAGCTCACCATCACTGGAGAGCCTTCTAACATTGGGAGGTATTACTCAGTTACACTGTATTAGCTTCTGCCATTGCATCATTTTCCTCGTGCTGATTGCCTTTCTTTTACTTATCTGTTTACCCTCCATGGTATATTTACCTTATTAGACCTTTCTTCTCAGAAGAATGGCTGTGTGATAGAATTATCACTTGCAACACAGAAATACCTGTAATTTATAGTCTTATCTATTCTTTCTTGTTGGTTTCTTCAAAATTGCATCATTTATTTGATTTCTGGTTCCACATGCTATGCTGGCCTCACCCCTGAGGCGTACTGAGCCAGGAACCAAGTCAGGGTGTGATGGCACATGCCTGTAATCCCAGCACTGGGGAGGCTGAAAACAGGAGGATCACTATGAGGCTGACCTGTGTAATGAGACCCTATACCAAATACATAAAATGAAAAAAGAAGTATATCATTTAGAAAATTTTAACTCTTCTGTTATGACATCTTTGTGTAGCATTAGAGTTCTTATTTAGTGTGTTTTGATTTTGAAATACTGATCTTCCAATTTTTTTCTTTTTAATGGAGATTTGTATTTAGTGGCTACTTACTATAAGCTCTCATTATACCAGAGGCTGTACAGGAAGATGAATATTAAGTCAGGACAGTTCCTGATTTCAAGGTGTCATTCTTTTGTGAAAGGAATACACTGGAGAACTCAACAAATTCTTCTTACACTCTTGGGCTAATAAAATTCCAACTCCTTAACTATTATTATTATTATTATTATTATTATTATTATTATACCAACGTTCTACTATGCACTCAGAACTTTTCAGTTGATGAAACATTTTATTGTGAAAACTATTAAAATGGACGTCGATGTTAAGAGTTTGGGTAGTTCACAGCCATATGCCTGCTATCTCAATTGTGCTATAAACAGCTTTATTTACTGAGGTGTAATTGATATTGTAAAATATATAGTATTTTTCATTTAAGGTTTATAATTTTGTATGTCTTGGCATGTGCATATGCCATCAAACTTCCATTACCAAAATAACAAAATTTTAAAATTATAATTGTATTCATTGTGACATTTCTTTACAACCATGTGTTGTGCTTTGATCATGTCTACCTTCCCGTCTCCCCTCACATATGCTCCTTTTTCTCTCCTCTCCTTTTATTCCCTTTCTCCTTGAGGTTATTTTATTTTATTTTGAAAGTTTTTGCTATGTCTATTTCATTTAACATGGAGTTCTCCAGTTCTATCCATTTTCCTGCACATGACATGATTTTATTCTTTATAGCTAAATAATACTCCATTGTGCATAATTTTTTCATCTCTGTTTTGAGGGCACTTGGCTGATTCATTTCTTGGCCATTGAAAATAGTGCTGCAATAAACATGATTGTGCAGGTTTTTCTTTTGCATGCTGGCTTAATTTCCTTTGACTACCATTCAGATGTGGCATAGGTGGATCATATTGATGTCAGAGAAATCTGACTCTTGAACTGTTAGATGTCAAATGTGCAGAGTTTGTGGTTCCATTACTGGGGAATGAAGTCTTGAACTAAAGGAAGAAATTAGGGAGGTTTCATTGGAAATAAGGGAAAGAATAAAAACTCCTGGATTTTTAGGAGGGATCTGGAATGAGTTGATCATAAAGGCCCTTTGTTAAAAGGAATTTGTACAGCAAAGTAACAATGAAGGTACAGTGTGACTCAAACCATAATCACCCTACAGTACAGGATGAAAAGTATAGTTTTTTTTTCTTTTTAAAATAATACTGATTCAATAGGCAAACAAATCACGTAGCAAAAGGTAGCCTTTTCTTTTGAAAGAAAAAAGGCATTTTTGGGAAGGGATGGGTTGAAATACTCTGGTCATTCACCTGGGCATTTATGTCCCAACTGGACTTACTGGACCAAGTGGTGCTAATTACAGTATAATCTCAAGTTACTGTTTACCTTTTAGGGAGGCCTGTAAGCCTGACCATTACACCTCCTTCTTACCCCTCCAGCCACCACTTTGATGTCTATTTTTGTGCTGACTTTTTGAGGGTCCAATCTTGATCTGTGTATTAATGTCTATCTAACTTAGCTGCCTGTAATAATATGGTAGTTCTGTTTTTGAGGACCAGCCATACTACTGTTCTCAGTGGGGGTTGTGTTAATACGCATTCTCACCAACACTGTATAAAGGGTTCTTTTAATCTAAATCTTCACTAGCATTTGTTTTATTTTGTTTCTGATAATGGACACTGGGGTGAGAAATTTCAGTGTAACTTTTTTTTTGCAATTCTCTGATGGATAAAGGTATTGAGCATTTTTTCATATATTTAATGATATTTGTACTTCTTTTGAAACGTGTCTGTTCGTTTGCAAATTTTTAAATTAAAAAGTATTGCTATAAAGTTTTTTGAGTTTTTACATATTTTGAATATTAATACTGTATCAGATAAATAGCTGGCAAAGATTTCATTCTGTTCTATTAGTTGTCTTTTCACTCAATTTCCTTTGCTGTATAGAAGTTTTTAAATTTGATGTGACCCATTTGTCAGTTCTTACACAATTTTTCTGCTTGCTTTTTTTTTTTTTTTTTTTTTTTTTTTTTTTGTATTTTAGGGAAGGGTCTACAGGGTGTTCAGGGTCTCACTACTAGATTGGACTCATAGTGATCTGTCTGTTTACAGCCTCCCAAGAGCTGGGATTATAGGCACACACCACCATGCCCCGTCTCAATTGCTTTCTCAGCACACTCTTGGGGTGGGGCCTATACGGTAGGCCCAGGGATCAAATCTCCAGCCTCTGCACCTGTTTTCTCCTTATTGATCTTATATTAAGCCACTGTTTTAGAATCATATTGTATATATAGTTATAATTAAAATGTTTTATACATTAATATTATAACTGCAGAAATAAAATTCAGTGATATTTTGGTAAAATATTCATGATATACTATGCAGAAATAGGTAGAATTTATTTTTTGTTATATATATTATTTGTGATTATGCCTAGTATGTTACTTAGGAATGAAATTCATTTAACTTTTTAAGATGAAAATATTTGAGTGTCTCAAGTTTATTTTTATTATCTTTTCTAGGAGCTGTAGCCCTCAAGAATCTTGAAATTAAAGAAAATGCTTTGGTAGGTTTTGATCAGGAGACTTTATAATGTTAGTCAATTGACTATGGCTACTTTCTCTTGATTTAGTTTACTACCTTAAATTATTTAAGTTTGAGAAAGTGTTTTAGAAATTATTTTTATAAAATGTACATTTTGAAAATTGAGTTTTAATTTCCTAAGAAGCATAGTCTCCCAGTGTAGCTTTTTCTGTTTAAATTTTTTTATAGTAGTTTTATTTATTCCTCTGTGGATTTATTTTTAATGATTAACTTACCCTCCAGTTTTCTTTTTTCTTTTTTTTCTTTTTTTTTTTTTTTTGGTGGTAACGGGGATTGAACTCAGGACCTTGTGCTTGCCAAGGTGCTTGCCAGGCAAGTGCTTATTCTACTGAGTTATCTCCCCATCCAGTTTTCAGGTTTTGTTTTTTAACATAATTTTATCAGGTTCAATTCAGTTTCATGGATTGACGCACAATTTTGTGTAATCCTCATAGTACTGATTTGTACAACTTGTTCACATCTCCAAGAGAAGCTCTTTAATCTGTTTCCATTTCATTTCTTAATAGACTCTGGACATTTTTCTTCATTGCAAATTGAAATTTTCAATCCCCTCTTCCTACCCCCACAAATTTGCATATATCAGATTTGAATATATTAAATCATTTTCATGGCAGAATAATATTTCACTATGTATATATTGTGAGTGATTTTTCATTCAGCTTTTCACATACACTTGAGGTATTTCAACTTTTTGGCTCTCGTGAGTAATTTCTTCGTATTAGTGGGCATGTGTGTTTTCCAGACCCCAGGTTCATTTACTTCGATTATAAACCTACAAGTAGAATTGCTCAATTATATGGTGATTCTATTTTAGCTTTCTCCAAGAACACAATAGGTTTTGCCATAGCCTATAGGGAATGTAACCCTTTTATATTCCTCTAGCAGTGCACAGGGTTCTAATTTCTCTGTATTCTCTGAATCTTCCAACATTTGTTATCTTCTGCTTTCATGTTTTAACCACTATTCTCATAGGTGAGAAATGGTATATGATTTTGATTATTGCCCAAAATGTTTTTAAGTCTCTCATCATTTTAAAATCAGGTTTTGTTGTTTGGTTGTATGTTTGGAGCTTTTGTGTATTTAGCATATTGATCCTTCACCACATATATGATTTGCAATTTTTTTTCCTATTTCAAAAGTTTTCCTAACCCTATTGATAGTGTCCTTTGATGCACATAATTTTTTATTTAAACAGGCCAATTCATCTACTTTTTGAAATTGCCTATGCTTTTGTTCCTGTTTCTAAGAAATAATTACCAAATCTGATATTATAAAGATTTATTATGTTTTCCTCTAAGTGTTTTATAGTTTTAGGTCTTCTTTGTAGTTTCGTGACCATTTTGAGTTTTTTGTGTTTTTGTTTTGTGGTACTGAGGATTGAACCCAGCCCTTTTAATTATTGTGAGGCAGACTGTAGCTAAGTCAGTAACTTGCTGTGGCTGAGCTTGAATTATGATTCTTTTGCCTCAGCCTTCTAGTGTATGGGGATTATAGGCATATGCCAGCTTTCATTTTTACAAATGGCATAATTTATAGGTTCAATCTCATATCTTTGTAGCTGATGTCTACTTTTTCTAGCACTGTTTATTGTAAAGGCTGTCCTTTTTCACCTTGAATAGAGAGAAATAGTTTAAATTCTCTCTTTTTTTTTTTTTTCTCCAAGAGTTTTAGTTCCTTTAGAAACAAACTGGCAGTATTTCTCACCTCTTTTTTTTTTTTTTAAATATAAAGGTGGTAATCTAGTATGGATAGTTTTTTTCATATTAATATAGACCTTTCATTTTAAAAAGAGAAGTTTCTAAATTTTATTGACTTGCGAATACTGAAATTAAATTCTTATAAATTTGAATAAGTATTGTAGAATGTGTAAGTTAATTTAATAGTCAAATAATTTTGGGAAGAAAAAAGTTAATGTATTGCTCAATTGTATATAATAATTGTATACATTAATGCTTTACATATTTACTTTTTTATTTTAGAGTCAACTGGATGTACCATTTAAAGTTAAAGTTGGTCATATAGGTAAGCCATACTTCTGAAATGTTCTTGCTGAACATTTCAGAAGCATCTCTATAATGTAAACTTTTTAATGGTTTTGAGCCTTAATTTAAAATACAGTAATAAAAATTACAGTAATCATGTGTTCTTAGGTACAACTTAGTTGTGTAACTTAAAAAGTATTATGAGGTTCATATATTCCTTGTACAATACTGTACACTAATGTGATACGGTAATGATACATCTTATTAAGTGTTAAAATTGAGAACCAAAGCATTACATTTAACAGAGGCCTTACCAGTCTCAATTTTCAATTTTCTAATTAGTTAGCATTTCATTATTTTGATTGGTATCAAACATGTGGTGTAAAGAGCATGGCCTAGATTGTCTGGGCACTGTGGTCAGGAGCCACTCTAAAAACTGGTGTCTGCTGTGGAAGTTTTTCTAGTTTTGAAGAAGGTATTGTGCTATTTCTTGCTCTGTGTTATTTTATCTGTATTTATAGTTTGTACTTATTAATTGGGCAGAAACTGATTGAATGTAAGGTTTTGGCATATTTTAAACCTGTATGTTGAGATTCTAAACTTTTTTTTTAGTTTTATTGGTTCAGATATCATGGAAGATGATATTTAATTGGGATTTTGAAGTATTTTATAAGAGCTTCCTAGTCAGATTTGTGTTACTGAAGGTAGTTATATAGTGGTGTAATGCAGTAAAGCACTTTATAATTTTGTATACTGTACTAGTATTTGGGATTAAACCGTATGCCATAATGATTTCATCCATCGCGTATAAATGCCATATTTTCTTTGTTCATTCATTTGCTGCTTCTGTGGTTGAGCTGTTATGAATTGTACTGCTATAAATGTGGGTATGCATCTATTACTATAATATGATGTCTCAGACCCTTTCAGGAAAATATCTGTCTAAAAGGAGTATAGATGTGTCAAATGGAATTTTTAGTTTAACTTTTTTGAGAAATCTCCATATTGATTTCCATAGTGGTTGTACTAGTTTATATTCCCATGAACAGTAGGAGGGTTTCTTTTTCCCTACATCCACACTAGAATTTGTTACTGATGATAGCAATTTTGGAGTAAGGTTGAATTTTGATTTGCATTTTTCTGATTGCCAGAGATGTTGAAGTTTTTTTCCCCCCCTGTATTTATTGGACACTTATACTTCTGAGAAGTGCCTATTCATTTCAGCTGCATGTTTTTAAATTCTTTTCTCTAGAGGGGTCTAATTTGTTTGAGTTGTTTATATATTCTAGATATTAGTTCTCTTTCCAAGAAATAGCACACAGTTTTTTTCCCCATTCTGTTGGTTGTCTCTTCACTCTTTTGCTTTTCTGCACAGAATTTTTAAAATTCGGTATGATCCCATTTCTTGATACTACTTGGTACTATTTCTTGTCCAATTGGGCTTTTGTTCTGAAAGTCCTTGCCTAGGCCTATGTTTTCAAGCATTTTATGTATGTTATCTTCCAACAGATTGTTTTTGTTTTAACAGATCTTTGATCTATTTTGACTTTAGATTAGCACATGATGAGAAATAAGGGTCTAGATTTAATCTTCTGGTTATAGATAGCCAGTTTTCCCAACACCACTTGTTGAAGAGGCTATCTTTCTTCCAGAATATGTTTCTGAAAGGTCTAACTGAATGTGCTTTTGGTGGTTTGTCCATCCTTTGTTCCATTCCATTGATTTGCATATCTTTTTTTTTTTTTCAATACTGTGCCTTTTTTTGTGTGTGTGTGGCTGGCCCAGGGGTGGGGCTGGTGCAGCATCTGGTGCCAGGGATTGAGCTGTGGTTTCTGTGCCTGCTTCAGCTTGCCTAAGCTGACAATTTAGACTGCTAAATTATCTCGCTGGCCCCCTACTGTGCTGTTTTATTACTGTAGCTTTGTAGTATGGTTTGAAGTCTGGAATTGTGATGCCTCCTGCTTTGCTGTTATTGCCTAGGATCTTTCTCGCTCTTCTGGGTTTCTTCTGGCTTTGTATATATTGTAGGATTGTTTTCTCTACTTCTTTGAGAAATATCATGAGCATTTTCATTGCGATTGCATGGCAGTTTTGGAAGCATGGGTATTTAGACAACATTTTTTTTCTTCATCCAGGCCCAAAGGTGTCTGCATTTTCTGATGTCATCTTTGATCTCTTTTTTTCAGAGTTTTTATTATAGAGGTCCTAGGTGTTTATTTTATTTTATTTTATTTGATCTGTTGTGAATGATGTTTTCTTAATTTCTTTTTTAGTGAGCTCATTATTGGTGTACAGGAATGGTATTGGCTTTTGTTTGTGTTTTAATTTATCTTGAGTGTTTTAATTTTTAATTAATCATGAGAGTTTTGGTGAAAATGTTTTGGATCTTCTACGTAAAGGATCAATCATGTCATCTACCAATAATGATAATTTCCGTTCTTTCCGATATATGCTCTCCCTTTTTTTTTGTAGTACCAGGGATTGAACTAGGACCTTGCACTTGCCAGGCAAGCTCTTATGCCACTGAGCTATCTCCCCAGCCATATATACCTTTTTTGTTTCTTTCTCTTGCCTGATCATTGTGGCTGGTATTCTGAGAGCTGTATTGAATTAAGAGTGGTAAAAATGGACATCCTTATTCTTGATTTTAGAAAGTATTTAGCTTTCCCTCTATTTAATATGATGTTGGCTGTTGGCTTGCCATACATGGCTTTTATCAGGTAAAAGTAAGGTCCTTATATTATCTCAGTTTTTATCATGAATGGATGTTGGATTTTGTCAGAGGCTTTTTCTGCACATATTAGGGTGATTGTATGAGTTTTGTACTTTTGTTTATGTGATTGGCTTGCATATGACATTCTTCTCATGGAAGATAGGGCAATGTATAGAACACATACTAAAGAAAATAGGATCACATTGATTTACATATGATGAATTATCCGTGCATCCCTAGATGAAGCGTACTTGATCATGATTTATGATGTTTTTGATGATTGATAGCATTCTGTTTGCCTGTGTGTTATTGAGAATTTTTACATCTATGTTATTAAAGAGCTTGGCCTTTGGTTTTCTTTTTGGTTAGATCCTTTTCTGGTTTTGGATTAATGTAATGGTATCTTCCAGGAGTGACTTTGGGGGTACTTTTTTTTCATTTCAGTTTCATTAAGGAGTTTGAGGAGTATTGGCTTTAGTTCCTCTGAAAAGTTATTGTAGAATTCACCAGTAAATACATTGTATCCTGGACTTTCATAGTTGGTAGCAATTGCAGCTTCCATTTCATTCCCAGATCATTCAGGGTTTTTCTGTCTTGGTTCAGTTTTGATAATTCATGTCTAGGAACCTCTGTATTTCTTGTGACTAGTCCAATTTATTGGAGTATAGTTTCTCAAATGGATACTGATCTTCTGGATTTCAGAATTGTCTATTGTGATTTTGTCTTTTTTGTTTCTTCTTTCTGAAGTATCTTTTTTTTTTTTTTTTTTTTTTTTTTGTGGTACCAGGGATTGAACTCAGGGCCTTGCGCTTGCCAGGCAGGTGCTTATTCTACTGAACTATCTTCTGGCCCTTTTTGTTTCTTCTTGTATTGATTTGGGTCTTTAGTATCCTTCTTAGGGATACTAAGAAGGGTGTTCTGTTTTATTTATTCTTCAAGAAAACTGGCTTTGGGGGAGCTAGCTTAGTAGAATGCGCAGGGTCCTGAGTTCAATCCCTGGTACCACAAAAAACAAAAACAAAAAAAACTGGTTTTTGATTTACAGATATTCTCTCTCTCTCTCTCTCTCTCTCTCTCTCTCTCTCTCTCTCTCTCTGTGTGTGTGTGTGTGTGTGTGTGAAATTTTATAATTTCCTTGCTGTACTAAATTTGGATTGTACTTGTTTTTCTAGCACCTTGAGGTGCATCATTAAGTTATTTATTTGAGCTTACTCTTGTTTTTATGGTGTGGACATTCACAACTAAAAAATAACCTCTTAAAATGGCTTCCTTTGTGTCCAAAAAGTTCTGTTGTGTTGTACTGGCATTATTTGATGCTAGGAACTAAGTTCTTCTTTGGTTTGCCCTGTGTCCCATTGATTATATAGCATTTTTCAATTTCTATGTGCTTGCTTATTATCTGTGGTTTCTTCTGTTATCAATTTCTAATTTCATTGCAGTATGATCTGGTAATATACATGCAATAATTTAAATTCTTTTTCATATACATAAACATGCTTCATTTCATGGGCTAGCATGTATTCTATTTTATAGAAGGTAACCATTGTGCCGCTGAGAAGAATCTGTGTTTTGTTGTTGGAATACTGTAGACATCTGTGAAGTTCATTTTTTCCGTGGTTTGGTTTAACTCTGATATTTCTTTGTTGTTTTTTAGTCTAGTTCATCTATTTGTTGGGGTGTGAAATTGAGATACCATTATAATTGTGTTCATGTTTATCTGATCTTTTATGTCCAGGGTTCTTTGTTTTGGGACACACTGGTATTTGGTGCGTGTTATGGTTTATGTCTAGATGCTGCCCCCCCATCCCCCAAGTCTCATGCAGTTATTGGGTAGTCTTCTAGAGCTTTTGATTGATTGTTTCAATGCTTTAGATATGGATGTGAGGGCAACCTAACCTGGCGTGAGTAGACTACATATAATGTAAAGGAGGGAAAGAGGCTTGCTTTGCTTCTCCCTTTTTGCTCTTGTTGCTTTTGCTGTCTGCTGCCACCATGAACTGTTCACTTATGCCATGTGCCACTATGCCTTGGAGTTTGCAGAGTATGGACTGAAACCTCCACAAACTGTGGTAAATATTTAACCTTTCCTCCTTTAAACTTCTGTGTTGGGTATTTTGTCTCATCAGTGAGCAAAAAGTAACCAAGACAGTGTGTATATGTTTATAAATGTTATCTGTCCCTGTTGAATTGTTCCCTTAACTAGTGTGTGGTGACCTTTCCTCTTCTGATCATTATTGGCTTGAAGTTGACGATGTCTGAAAATTGTTTTTTATTGTTTTGGAGCACCCCATTGCATGGAATATTATTTTCTCTCCTTTGATTTTAGTGTGTTTGTTTTTGGATTAAATGTGTTCCATGTATATAGCATATCATTAGATTTTGTTTCTTGATCTATTCTGCCAGTGTCTTTTAATTGTGGAATTTAAAACCATTCACGCTGTTATTGCTTTAAGGCATTTATTTCACTCATTGCATTCTTTTCCTTTTGCTGATTTTCTGCCACCCTTTCCCAAGCTGCTCACCCTGCCTGGTGTATTTGTTCATTAGACTTTTTTGGCCTTATTACCTTCATTTTTTCAATAATATTCTTAAGAATTTTTGGTAGTGCTGGTTTGGTGGTCATAAATTTCTTT